CATCTCTCACCCTGCTCTGGCAGGAGGGCAGGACTGTGTAACCCCCAGCAGGCACCTAATGGGCCATGTTGGAGGAATGGCTGCACGGGTCACCCAGGGACAGAGCACCAGCCTGCAGCACCACATCCCAACCACCCACTTTATTGCTATACCCTGTTTTTAAGTCAGACAGAAGTGGATGTGACTCCCAGTGGGCTGTGGACTGTTTTAGTCTAAGCAAACTAAATTGGAGAAAGTGTCCATCCAGAGTAAGCATGTCCTACTCTGAAGCAGCCATAGCATTTTAAACCATAAAATATGAATTTTGAACCATAATACATGAATTCTGCTCTCTCAGGCAGGCAAGTCTTTACTCAGAGAACTACTTTCCATTCAGATATAGTTGGTGAGGTAAACACCTTCAAACCAAATCAACAAAAAGACTCTTTCAAACTGGGCCAAGACCCTGTGAAATCTGCACCTCCAGGTATAACTTTCATTAAAAAGTTATCTTAATTACTGCATTTACTACAGTTTTCTTGCCTTGCCCTAATGAAATGCTGATCTGCTTGCCCTGATACTCTGCACCAGGGCTAATTAACAGTGCTCTGCTAACTACTTGCTAAAGGAAGGTGATTAGTATTGATGCTTAAATAGCTCATTAGGTTTATCAACCTGCTCAGAGAAAGCTGGGGAAGGGAGAAAAGGGAAGGGTGCCAAGGCTCCCACAGCCCAGCTGGCATGGAGTGGCTGGAGGTGGTGTCCCTCCAGTGAAACTGAAACAGCCCAGGAGGGCAGGAAAGATGGGAGCCACCATCAGAGCAGTCCAGGGAGCAGGAGTCAGCCCATCCACAGGTGCAGAGAAGGAAAGCTATCTCTGGCACTTTAGAACATCCTCTCACAGGCTGCTGTGGCCAGGTGACAAGGAGATACAGACTGGTTTTCATCCTCAGACCTGCTGAGCAGCTGCACAGAGGACATGAGAGGGAGTTTCAGCAAACAGGAGAGCAGCCAGCAGCAGGGCACTGAGGACAGTGTGTGCCCACACAGCTCCTGCCTGGCACACAGGGCACTGCCTGCAGCAGGTCCTGCTGGCATCACGGGCAAGGCAAGGGTGGAAGAGCAAAGTGCTCAACAAATTACAAACTTGGAGGAAGGAAAGAAAAAATCCCAAGCCACAGCCTTGAAATAAAAGGCTGCTGCTTTTGCCTGCATTCAGGTTTCCAGAAGCAGAAGAGCAGTCAGAAGTGGAGACAAGTGACACAAGAAGGATGATGTAAACCCTGAGCAGGGAAAACAGGTTCATGCCTGTGCACAGAGGGACACAGGAACATGGACTTACAACTGTTTTATTTTAAAGGGCAACCTAGATCAAACCAGAATTAGTGATACAAAGAGCTGGAGTTGTGATGCATCCTGAGAAGAGTTAACTATTTTACATGCTGTTGCCACCTCCCTCCACTTGCTCTTCTGAGTCTGAAATGCTGTCTGGGCAGCAGTTAAAGACCTTTATCTGATACTCAAATTAATGGTGAGATTTGGGGCATTTCTCTTAACACTTCTGTGCTCCCACAATCCTGTCTGTATAGTGGGAGTGGTAAAAGACAGAAAAGTACTACACATATTTGGGTGCAATGCACTGAGCAGGTGAGATTTCTCACCTGCTGCCTCAAGAATAAAGCGTGGAGTACTCTGGAGGTGTTAAAAAGGAGTTATTTAAAAGCTAACCAGGTTGGTTATCACAAAGATCCTGAAAAAAGTTACAGCTCTCTAGGAATAACAGCTGTCTCATCTACTGAACTTCTGCAGGAATGCCTATTCTTATTTGGAAATGAGCAGGCAGTGCTGATTTACAGTAAATGATCCCAGAGCTTGCCATGTAGTAAAGCTTTATGCAAATTGCAGCTGCCACCCTAAAGCTGTATTTGCATAACTCCTTTGTAAGTCAATCTTAAGCATTTTTACCATAATAAAAGTTATCAATATTTAAAGAGACATGAAAAATAGGCACATATATGTGCTCCTTGCCACTTAGCTTTTAAGCACTAATTTGTATTAGCTGCTTTGGGTGGTTTAAGGAGCTGCAGTGCAAGATTTGGAATGGGGTGAAGTGACAGAAAATCTGAGTGTGACCTTGAGCTCCAGGACAGATCACAGAGCACAGCAGCAATTGCACACCTGAGGCTGTGGCTGATCAGCACCTGCTGTGTTCCACACAGGGATTTTAAGATCAATACCACATTTATTGGTATCCAGCAGAGACAACTGCCTGCCACAGGTCGGTCCTACAAGGACAAGGGTCCCCAGTTCTTTATTAAGAGCATTTCTAGAGGGAATCTCACTATAAACTCACCAAAACCATGTAGGATTCCAGCCATGTTTGATCAAAGCACTGATCATTTAGTGAGGGAACTCCAGGGGAATTCTGTAAGCAGTTGGAAGACACAGCAGATCCCAGGTGAGCCCAAGTGATCAGGAGGTTGAGTTTCACCCATTCTGAGCCTGCCTGTTACTGCAGCTCACAGAATCACAGAGTCATTAAGGTTGGAAAAGACCTCTGAGATGACGAAGTTCAACCTGTGATTGAATACCAGCTTGTAAACCAGACCAGAGCACTGTGGACCACATCCAATCCTTCCTTGGACACCTCCAGGGCCTTCTGCTGCTCTCCTTCAAAACCTTCCCCTGCTCTTGGTCTGCCTTGTGAAGGGTCTGGAGTCACAGCAGTGGGAGCTGATGCCCTTGGGTGGGGATTCCCAGAAGGACTGTGGGAATCAGGTTCCCAAATTTCCCTTAAATCCAGCAGGAGCAGGTTACTCAGCCCTCACAGACTGCCTTGAAAATCCTGGTCAGAATCTGAGCCCCTTCTGCAGCCTGCCCAGGTGTGGTTTCAATGCTGCATGGGGTTCCTCCATCCTGCACTGCAGCTGGACGTTTCCTGTGGTTTTTAACACCCAGGTTCAGTGCTTGTTTTAGCTCTGGTGCTAAGAAGTTGGCTATCCTTTCACTTTAAATAGTATTTGTTTTCCTGTGTTATGTGGAGCTGTGGCTGACCTTTCAGTCCTGGTAGCAGAGGGAGGATGAATCAGCCCAGCTCAGAAAAGAGGCTGCACAAAGGGATGCTGGCTCCTTTCATGGCATGAGGGCTTCACTCCTCCTCTTCTGCACAGAGCCTTGGACCTGCATCACCTCCCCCCAAATCACAACGCCCCAACAATTACAGCATTAGAAAAGGATCATTCAAAATAATAACAAATATTTTCCCAGTCTAAAGAAAGCCTAATGCAACTATTAAATTGGGGCTATACATATTTCAGCCAAGAATCCTTAAGTAACTCACAACTTGCCTGATCTCTGAATACCAGCAGGGCAAGGCACATTATTTCTACAACCAAAGACCTTTTATTTTTAATCTGTGACATTGAAGAGCCCCAGGCAACTTTCAAGAATAACTGCAATCATTCAGGGCCCTAGGTATTCCTCCTGGACATCCCTGTTCTGTAAGGAAAAGGATGAACATGCAGCAGAGTCACCTGAGGCAGCCTGGCTGCCCCAGCCCTGCCCTGCCTGGCTCCTCGTCCTCTCCCACATTCCCATCACCTGCCCTGCATGAAGCAGCCTCTCCTGCAATTCCTTTATTCTTGCCACCTTCAAATAACTTCTAAAATAAGATTGTTTCTCCCCAGGTACCCAGAACATTGAAGTAAATAAAGAGTTAAGCTAAATCGTGCATTTTTATTCTCTTGTGAGATTTCTCATTTCTTTGGTCTTCTCAGTCTTATCTCTATCTGCCTTTTCCTGTGTGCTTCAGAGGCTACAGAGCAGCCATAGCACTGCCACTCAAAAGTAAACATTGATGTATATTTAAACAGATATACTCACAAAATTAAGCATATATAAATAAATATGTGTAGCTACACACACTGGTGTCTACAGGATGAATAGATGAGCAATGATGGTTGTAAAAAATAAAAAAGCCCCACAGCACCCAGCAGCTGTGTCTGAGCTGGAGGAGCACATCAAAGTCCTGTCTCTCAGGAGATGGGACCAGTGAAGATCCCAGTTACATCCCTGGGAAGCAGCACTTTCAACACACCAGGAGCAGGGTCACTTAGGGATTTCTGTGGAAGCTGCCATATTTTATAAATGATCTGTGATCTCTGAAACTCCATCCATCAAACTCCACTGAAGGAAAAAGACATTTCCCCAGTATATCCAGATTTCTTTTCCTCATTACATATCCCAGGCCTTTTATTGCAACTGTGAATGTTCTCTGAATGCCAGATTTTGGAGCTGGGTCTCTGGTTCTGCTCTGCAGTAGGATCAGGGTGGCATAGGAAGGGAGATCCCCAGGCAGACCAAGGCCAGCCACTGGAGCAGTCACAGAAAGGAACCCAAAGTGAACACCCCAGGAAGGAACTCTAACAAAAACCCCTGGTGGGCACTGCCCAGGCTCCCCAGGGATGGGCACAGCCCCGAGGCTGCCAGAGCTCCAGGAGCATTTGGACAATGCTCTCAGGCACAGGGAGGGATTGTTGGTGTGTCTGTGCAGGGCCAGGAGCTGGACTGGATGATCCTTGTCAGTCCCTTCCAGCCCAGAATATTCTGTGGTTCTGTGATTTACTATCACACAAAGCAGGTACAGCTGTGTGTTACTGCCCATAAAGATATTTGGTTTCTGAGGTCACTTAACAGCTAAACACACACATGACTCTCTTCCAACCTAATTTCTATGGGCCCCATGTCCACACCACAGCAAGAACACTCTCTCTTTCCAGAGCTGGAAACACCTCAGGCTAAAAAGATGTGGTAGCTTATTTCCCATACCCAAGCAGTCCCCCCTGGCTTGAACTGCAGCTCACAACAACCCAACCAGGTAAAGCAAGTGGCACTGCTCTGCAGCACTTCCCATTCTGCTGACAAACACAGGCCTTCCTTCCCAGCAGGATCTAACCTGGCATTTCAGATGAGCACTTTGGAAACAAGAGCAAACCCTGCCAGAGCCTGCTGTGAGCACTTACAAATCCAATGAGATAAGGACTGCCAGCATCTCCCAGGAGGTGTGAAGTGAAACTCTGCAAGGCCACTGCGGTTGCACGGCGAGTTGGAATGACCACGTACTGCAGAGAAGGGGAAAGAAACAAAAAGAGGTAAAGAAGCTGAAATAGGAACCTGCCCATCTGCCTTGTACTGCTGAGCACAAAACAAACCAGCCACCCAGCCAGAGCCACTGGCCATGGCTGGCTCAGGCAGCTGGGAGCCCCAGACACCCTTCCTGCTCTGGAGGTTCCTCTGGCAGGTGCTGAGGGAAGGAAGCTCTGCCCTCTCTGCTCCACTCCCAGCTTGGACTATCAGTTTTGCCCACAAGACACTTTGCTGTTGCTTCTCAGACTGCATTTTGCTTTGCTGGTGGGGAGAATGAAGTTTAAAGTTGCTCAACATCAACAGCCTTCCAATGAAGGACTGTGCTGTAACCTGGGATATTTGGTTTATTCCATAACAAAAGCTATTTTGTTTCCTCAACTATCAGCAATCCACATCAGTTTGAAAGGTCATGGTCACATATCCTCCCTTCCCACTCCATCCCTAGCCACTTTTCCATTTTCCTCAAAAATTTGTGATTCCATTTGTGAAAAGTGACAAAATCACATTAGGAAATTTTTCCACAGCCAAGATACTGTATTTTGGTCTGCACTCCTCTAATAGGACATGACACCCTTAGCCAGGTCATGCAGAATCAGTCAGATTACACAGGAGCAGTGGAAAACACAAATTACTTCCCCATGAAGGGACTAGAGCTCACAGACAACAGAGCCTTAACCACAGAAGGGGATGAAAAATTAAAAAATAAAAAAAAAACCAGCAATCCCCTGTCCTGTGGAATGACCTTAATTTTATAATACACTTTTTAGAGGCAGAGGAAAGTAATTGTCTCTGGCATAAATTGTTAAAGACACTGGCTAGGGACATCTGCATCAAGTCCACATATCCCAGTTTATGAATTGATCCTGTCTTGATTTAAAGGCTGGAAGTAATGAAGAATTCAATAGGTCTCTAAATCCAAGTGAGCGTTGTTTCTGCCTGTAAGCACTGATCTCACTGTGCCTTTTGCTGTGCCTCTGACAGGAATGACTCTTGTTCATTCACTCCCTTTGGAGACCATGATCCCTTTTATTTATCCACTTTCTCTCTGATGGGCTGCCTTCCTCTTTCTTTACAAGTCCTGCCTTGCCAGGACCCTTGCAATCCTTTCCCAAAGTAATTTATCAATTAAATGTGCCATTTCAGGAGTGGCTCATCCCCAGGCAGAGACACACAGAGATCCTTTACCTGCACTGACTGGCAGGGAGGACTCAGTCAGGACACAGGACTAAAGCACATTGCAGTGACTGAACTGCAGCAGGGGAGTTGCCCTGTCTGCAGTGGAAGAATCACCAGAAAACCAGGAACAAAAGGAAGAGCATTGAGAAGATCCACACTAAAAGAGAGCTGATGCCTATTTAAAATTATCATCTTGTTCCAAGCACAGACAATTCTGAATTATGGGTAAAATTAGATTAAATGCTTTTCCTTAGCGTTTACCGTGTGTGTTCAGATGACCTGCCAGTTCTTTCATCCCTGCTTTGACAAAGCTGCAAATGCACACTGCTAATGCACTTTCATGCTATGTATTAAGCAAGCACCCTATTCAACCTCTTTTGTGTAACAGAAGAGCCGAACATGTTCACATCCAGAGCAGCTGCCCAGCTGTGGATGTCAGGCCCTGCCCTCCTTTTGCATCCAGCAACTCAGAACACAGCTAAGAGAAAGAAGTCCCAAGAGGAAAATTAGCTCAAAACTTCATTAGAGACACAGAAATGTGCTGAAGGTCGGGATGTGAATAGTAGGAGAGCCCCACAATTCATTCCCACTCCCCCAAGAGGCAGATAATGGATGCAACCTGGATAGACCAGACAGAAGAAAAAAAAATTAAGAGTGAGTTATTTTTGTTCTTCCCACCTGGCCCAGTTCACACAGGGGCACTGGAGAAACATTCTGCAAGAGCTCTTTGGGAAAGGGCATCTCAGTAGATAAAGTGAAGTTCTACCTAATTCAAGAGTTGCACATAAATATGAAACACAAAATTTAAAACCTAACATATTTTTTCTTTATGTAAAGTTTATGTTAAACAACCTGGAGAAAATAATCTGCCTGGTTCTGTATTCTATCTATTTTTGTAGCAAAAGGACAATAGAAATAGCACATTTATTAAAAATTTACCACTTTCAGGGAGTGGGAGTGAATTGATGCTAATCAGAGGAAGAAGTCTTAATGATACCTGTATCATATGTGTGCATGCATATATAAATATTTATACACATGAATACACACACATATTAGTCATAATTTTGCATGTGTAGCTATATTATGCAAACACAGTTTTGCAAGTAGGAGTACAGTTTCCAGTTTAACTGAAGAAGTTACTGGTGGTTGAAACACCATAAAGTGCTAAAACTTTGTATATTTGTTCTGGAATTCAAGAGACACACACACCCCTCAAAGCAAAAACCCAACATGTAGCAAGCGAATGAACATGATCTCCTTGAAAAACATACTGGAAAAAAAAATAGCTTAAACCAGCACCTCCAAAAAACAACAAAAAATACTCCACCCTATCCCTACTTAAAAAAACATTTTGTTCTGATGGACAGGAAGCAGTTGGTAGCAAACATCTACTGTTCTTGGAAGACAGAAGCAAATTATAACTCTAAATTTCAATACTAAAATAGACCTAAATTCAAACCATGCACAGCCTGGTTTGGACATCCCACAGAAAGTGGAGGTGGGAGAGCCACAGCAGCCAAGGAGGAAGCCTGTGGGACTGTCCTGGCTCATCCCTGATTCCAGGTTCAGAGGCAGGCAGCACAGAGGATGGGCAGGGTGGCTGACCAAGCAGCTCTGCTCTTTAAATAGAAGTTCAGAAAGGCCAGGGATTACTGCTGACATCTCCTTCCTGTGATGAAACCAGCAGGAGTTGGTCTGAAAAAAGATAATGGGGAAAGCCAAGGAGAGATCACCCTTCTCCCAGGAAAAGGCCCTGTGCCAAAGAGCTAAGTTCTGATGTTTATGTCTAAGCTTGAATAGAAACTCTACTCTCTCAAGCACTCTGCTGCCCTTTCTGGGTCAGGACAATTCACACTGGTCTCTTCCAGCACCAAAGAGAAGAAAACATGCACTAGCACTGTTCAGCCACTGACAGAACCTGGAAATAGCCCAGTTGTCCCTGCTGCTCAGAAAGGGAAGGGCTGGGATCCAGAGAGACCCTCCATAACAGCCAGGCAGACACTGTCTAAAAAAATACTCCTAAATGAAGGGAAAGGAGGCTGCTGTGGTCTCCAGTTCCCAGCACCATGGAGCAGAACACCTCCACCTGCAGCCCTTGGATGGTTTGGGGTGGGCTGTGTTCCCTTATTCCCAGGCATTCCTCACCTGCATTCAAATCGTGGAGTATTGTGTAGGGACGAGGCTGCTGTGGTCTCCAGTTCCCAGCACCATGGAGCAGAACACCTCCCCTGCAGCCCTTGGCGTGGGCTGTGCCCCCTCATTCCCAGGAATTCCTCACCTGCCTTCAAATCTTGGAGTATTGTGTAGGGATACTCACAGAACCTCTGGAAATGCAATTTATCTTTGGCTATAAAAATAGGGCAGCATTTTGTACTAAATAAATAACTGGGTTTTATTTTTAGGGAAGGTAATCAGAATAAAAGCAACATTCTTACATGCCTATGGCACAGCTGAGCACCAGTCTGTGCCTGTTTCAAGCCTAAAGGAAGACTTTGACTTTACAACAAAGCATCAAAGAAGCTTCTCCATGGCAGGTCATGACCATTTAGAAAGAACTAATGTTTTAAAAGAAAACAGAAATATGCAGAGCAATTTTTTTTGCATGAATGTCAGGACTGTGAATAAACTGGAGGATGGCTTTTCTCAGCTAAGTCCTAAAGAGACTGTGATTGAAATAGAGGCACTTTAAATTGCTTCGTGGCTCTTACACAAAAATTCCAAGCCCCTGTCCATCATCTCTGTTTTTGAGATGCGATATGGAGGAAACCCCCACTATTAGCAGCAGATTCCCACAAAGCCCCACACACTGCACAGGTCTCAGAGTGTTCCACACTTGCCTGCTGCTCTGAAGCTCATTCATTGTTGCTGTTACGAGGCAGTTTTAATGCTACTTTGGGGTTCTGGTAATTTTAAGGCCAATTTGCAAAGATGGCTGATGAAATCTGTTTCATAATTAGCAAGCTCCACACAAAACATCCCTCCTTTCCCCAAGCACCATCTGAGCATGTGCCTGGGAGGAGATATGGAGAGTTTGCTCAGGAGAATAAGACCTGTTTTGTACAAATTTGCATTCGGAACAAATATCAGCCTTTCAGAATCTCAGAGCACTGCAGCACTGACAGTTTATCAGAGCCAGCACTTGGCACCTTGGACTGCAGCAAACACAGCAGCTGTGGATGCAATGCAAGCACAGAGCTAGGAAGAGCCAACAATTAAATTGGAAGATAACAAGCAAACATCCTTGTTTTGCCATGGAAATTAAACTTGCAAAACCTCTGGAGGTCCTTAACAATTTGCCCAACAGGACTCTTAAGCAGTCATGGGATCTGTAAAACTTGGGAAAGCTGAGAGAGATCATCTGGGAGGCAGTTTCCAAAAAGCCTCACTCCTGTCATAACGAAGTCAGCAATAACAGTGTTCAGGCAGCATTGAGAGCTTTTATCCATGAAAACAGGGTAATATTTATGTATAGGATGAAAGTGTTGTTAAGCTTACGCTAATAATGCTTTAAACTCCTTCCCAGCCTCAGGCAAGAACAGACACACTTCTGATTACACCAAATAAATAGTAATCAGGAAAATTAATTTGCCAAACATACAAAGTGCATCTGCTAAAGCATTTCCACATCTTTCTCTGGCAAGGACTTCCCACCAAGCTGTCTGTCAAACGTGGCTCTCACCTACTGACAGTCTGAGCCCCCTCTCATCCCCTGTGTGATCTGTCTGCACTCCAGTCTGTCTGCTTCTAGCTCTGGCCTCATCTAAGTGATGTTTACATTTATTTCTTTAAAACTTTCACACATCCACTCACGCTGTTAATGCATCAAGCTGGGCATTATACACAACACTTAGTCCATTTTCCTAAACAGAGCAGAGAACAGTGAGCTGAAAAACTGGCAGCAATTACCAAAATCCATTTTTCAACATGGCTTTGGTTTCTTTCCTGCGTTTTGGAAAATTGAGCTATTATTTCCAATCATTTCTTATGGAACTCTTTTGCACTAAAGCAACATAAATAACTGTAAATGCATCCCTACAAAATGCAACTGACTATAGGATGCTGGTAAAACAGATGGCAAATCCTATAAAAGCTGTTAAAAAGCTACAGGATATTGAAGTCACATTGAAATCAACACAAAAAACCTCTGTAATTAAATGGGACAACGATAGCAGCCCTAATACCCCTGATATAACAGAACAGTTGGTTGAAAATATCTTTTGGGGTTACCTTGAGACAACACAAGTCAAATTTCAGCTCTGTCTCTGGCACAGATTTTCTGGAAGACCTTGAACGTGTCTGACAGGATCCTCCCTCCTGGCAGCTGGGACCACCTCAGCTGAGCCCTTACCTGTGCCAGCCAATGTTAAGAAGGGTATAAACCAGCTGCTATTTAAACCTCTCCACTAATTCTGAGTGGAGAGAGCTGGGATTGCTCCTGGGAACACCACAGCCAGGGGCAGGATGCGACAGGAAGCTCTGGCAGGAGGCAGGAATGAGCAGCCACACATATTATACTGTCATTTCTTCCTCAGCACAGCTGTCTCCAGGCTGCACATCTGTGCAAGTTTTGAGATCCCACATTATGAATGGCCACAGCAGCCTTGAACTCAGCACAAGCTGCAAAAGCCCATGGAAGCCCCAGGGAAGCCACAGAGCTCTGTCCCACCACAGCTGACCTGCCAGGAGGAACCTTGGGAATGAAGAGCCATGCAATGCTAGCAGAGTGCACTGACAACCTTTGTTTCTCTGTGCTTTACCCACAGAGAGGAGTGGATTTAACTACCCCACCCCACCTCTCAAAGCATTCCCTGCACAAAGGAATGAAAGATGGAAAGTTCATCAGGCAATGCAGTGATGGCAACTGCAGAGCTACTTCAAAATATAAACACAACCTTGAACTTCAACATAAACACAACTTAAGCAGAGGCTTGAAGTTCTTTGCTGAATCAATACATCAACACCATTATCTTTACATCTAAGAATACTGAGCTCGATTGTTTCCTCGCTGATGTTTGCATAACCAGCAAATACAAGTCAAGGGAGTTTTCTATTGATGCCAGACTGATTATATTTTTAGTTCTGTCAACAAGCTGACAAAAGACCTCAGGAAAGTCCTGTAATGGTTCTGTGCCTTAGTGCCTTTCTTTCCACACAATTAGCAACACCTCCTCCACAACAGGGCTTCAACATAAGTTATGTTTGATGGGCTCTGATGGAAACCTCTACAAAACATGCAGAGCTCTTGAACAAATATCCAGACTATTTCATGTGAAAATGGGGCTGCTGAGGTCAGCTTGCTGATTTGAAAGACTTAAAAGCTCTGTGGTGGAGAAAGAATAGAAAATGAAGGACATGAGTTGAAAAATCCCTGACAGTTTCCTCTTGGACAAGGTGAACATGGTCCAAAAATTCTTTATACTTTCTTTTCCTCTCTGCTCTCCCAGAGGTGGGTTTCTATTGTGTATGTGTTGAATGGTAGGTAGATGGGCTGCCTTTGTGGTCAGAGGAGGGAGGGAAGGAGGGAGGGAGGGATTTCCTATTGCAGAACAAAGCTGAGTTATTGATAACAAAGCCCACAGTGCTGACTGTTAGGAAAAGCTGCCTGAATTCTCTGCATGTGGGGTTTTGTACAAACACTTAAAATTTTGGGAAATTATTTGAATTCAGAAATGTTGTCCTTTCTGGACATCTCTCCCTGGTGCTCAGAACAAAGGACAAAAAAGGATCTTTTTTTTCTCTTTCTTCCCATGTCACTTTTCAGTAAGCAAAAATACTAAGAATGAAAACCAGAATAGGTTAAAGTAGAGACTAGGATCTAGAAGAAATCGTGAACTTCAGGTTGTTCTTGCAAGTTGACAAACTGTTGTGAGCACAGAAAGATGCTGTTCCAAAGTGCACTCACCATTAGTATGTCTGCTGTGATAGCCCAGTTTGAGAAGAGAAGAGTTTCTCCGATAAAAATGCAAATCTGTTGTAACAAAACACACAAAAAGGAGAAGATTTATTCACTTGACATTCAGAGGAAAAATAACCTGTCACAAACTTTCTTTTGTTGCTTATTTTTCTCATACCTACACAGCACACTCCTTGTTGCTGTTGTGGTTTATCCTGACTATTAAGAAACCATAGACTTGTATCAGAGCTCTAGAGGGCTGAAATGTTGTTATTGTAAACTAAGTTTACGACCTATAGAGCAGCAAAATTAAAGGCTGACACATTTGATTTTAGAAGAACATGAAAAACCAGCATGAAGAGACAGCCCCAGGCTTGCATACCTAGAATCATAGAATTGTTGAGGTTGGAAAAGCCCTTTAAGGATCATCAAGTCCAACTTGCACTATTCTTTTTCAAAAAGCCAGTTAGAGAAGGCAAGAAAGCCACAACTCCCCAAACCACAGCTATTTCCACTCCTGGGAAGCAAGTTTTGTGTTCAGCTCTGCAGCAAACCAGCTGAGGCTCTCTGCAGAGAGCTGTGGAGGATCCCTTCCCTCCCTGACAGCCTTACACGAGTAATATCTGTCCAGGGGAGACTGGAATTAACTCTGGGCTTTGCAACATCAGTGTCTTGTGGTGAAATACAATCCTTGGCCCTCTGGAGATGGTCAGCAAGAGAAATTAAAGCCACAGAACTGCAAGAGTGGCAGCTGTGACATGATGTGACCACTGCCACTGTCTTTCCCACAACCAGTTGAGGTTGCCTAAACCCCTCAGACCACCCTGCCACTGCCAGGAATAATGTGCTTTATTTAGCAAGTCTTATGCACTGACCTACAGAAGCTTCCTCTATTTGTTTCTAAAATTGTCTTTGTTTCCCAAATACTTTCCCTCCCTATCCCCTTTTTGTGTGACTGGATCTGCTTCCTCTGTGATGGTGTCCAAGCCAGTCATTACAGCCCAGCTGGCCAGTTAGGAAATCTCTACTTCCATTTTCCCATTGCTCATGGGTCTGTCATGAGACTGGCTCTCCCTGGAAATGACAACTGCCAAGGTAAGAACACATCCAGGAAACCAAGGTGCTCTCAGGAGTTCAAGCCACGTGTCCCATGGGTACCAGACACATACTCAGATCTGCTCTGAAATCTGTTCTGCTACAGCTTTGCAGCTGCTGTTGCTGGGGTTCTGTGGCTGGAGAGACTAAACTGAGTTTGGAACAATGGAATCACACTTCTCAATGCAGCATCAATGTGCCCTGCCTGCTCCCAGCACTGCAAACAGGCAACTGCTTGCCTTGAGCTGCTGTGAACTGCACACATTTGAATTGCTACAGGCAGCAAGAACTTGTCCCTTGTGCAGGAATTTAGCACAAGTCCTTTAAATAAATCACTGAAATGCTACAAACTTCAGAGCACACCAGTTCTGAGCTGATGAATGTGTATTTCAACCAATCCATGAAACATGTGATTAATAGGTGGGTACTGGTAAAAGGAACGAGGAACAAGAGGAAGATCAAAAAGCAGGATAGAAAATACATTAAAAAATGTCTGTCCTTCAGCTGCTGATGGGGACTTACAAAAATGAGTTCACCCACTGCAAAGGGCATGTGAGGATATGTGGCATTTCTGCAGAAGGGAGGCTCTAGGGAAGCTTACAGCAAATAGGGCAACCCCAGAGCAGATAATAGCTCCTGAAATGCTCAGTTTTGACTCCTCACACACTTTTTGAAGCCTCAATTTACACTGAGACTTCACCTCTACATATACATCTATTTCTGACTCCAGCTGTGCTGTGTAACATCTCACCATGTCCATTTGGTGTCTGATTGCTCATCTGTGCTTTCCTGTTTAAGTGATCAGTTAGCCAATTCTGACTCCCCAAAATGATAAATAAAGCAGGTTTCAGAGTGGACACACCAGCAGCTCTCACAGCAAGTTCTAAGCAGGTTACAAATGCCTTCCATGACTGCTTGCAAAGGGCAAAGCTGTCAATATCTTCATTATTTGTATTCCTCTCTGAAATGGTGGGTGAGACACCCTCATGCACTCCTGAATTTGGAGCAATTCTACCTTCAGCTCAGTTCTGGGCAATATTGATGCCTCAGAAGTAGGCAGGTCACCAACAACATGAAACAGAAAGTCCCTGGGGTTGAGACTAAGATGCTGTAAAAGCTCTCTGGCAAGGTTTTACCCTGGGATTTGCTGTTTCTGCAAGACCATAAAATGTCTTTGAGGAATTGAAATAGATGTTGAAATGAGGAATTTGGAAGAGTGTCAAAGGAAGGCAAAGCAAAGCATCTCTCTCCAGTCACTTGGAGATTTAAACAAGTGTAAAATCTGCAGCTGAAATGTCTGAGCAGTGTGAGATGATGATGCCACACATAATGGGTTTCCAGAGACAGGTTTGAAAACCAAGTTTCAAAGAGTTTGTATTTCAGGAAAAGTGGGATTTACAGATATGCAAATTGGTGCTTTAAGGAGCTGGATTACAACACACAAATCCACATGCTGCAAGGAAAACTGAGTAAGAAGTGATTGAACTATACAGCCAAGCAGGATAATAAAAGAGAGAAACATAGGTGTCTGGGCAGCTAAATTATACAGAATTGTTGTTTCAGTCCACCTTGCCAGCCACTTCAACACTGCCAATAACTTACTGGATCAGTATGAAAAGATTGGCTGGAAAAAGTCACCTGTCTACCTGCCTCAGGTGGGAGTGTCTGCTACAGAATGGGAACAGCAACTGCCCCCAGGGACCAAAATCAATTGCAAGAAAGGACTGAGCAGGAGAGAAATAGTACATGTGCTCAGGGGAGGGAGAGAGCAGACAGTACACAGCTTGTAAGGGGCAGGGTGATCATGTTAATGGAAATGCAGGTCTTTTCCAAAAATATAAAACCTATAAAACCAAGAAATGAAAAAGCAAGGGCTCTGCAGGTTCTTGCTGGAGTGCTGCACACTTCATTTAAGCTGATGCCTGTATCAGTCAGCAATAAAGCTCTTGACTGTTAGCTGAGACAGGGAGGGAGATGGTGGAGATCTGGTGGCCACTACAGCTCTCTCTCCCAGTGAGAGAGAACATCATCTCATGGGAACCCACCTAATTGCCTGGAAGTGAGAATTTTAAAGCTCTGAGCCAAGGAGGGTTGCAAAAACATTCACTGTCAATTTTTGCATGGTGTGATCCATGACAGAAGCCTAAGGACAGTCACAGTACAGAAGGTTGGCAAACAGCACCATGCTGGGGGACAGACATTGCCTTGCCTTCCACAGACACAGAACTCAAGGATGTGAGCCAGCACAAGCTGTCAAGGAAGATATCAGAGACAAGAAAATCAACCCACAAATTTTACTGAATTTCCAGAAGGAGATTTCATCATGGATTTTGAGATAAGGAAGGTAACCTAGCCCATCATTCTGTCCACCAGCCACAGAACACTCTTCTCTTCATTATGGACCAATGAGACTTAAAGAGCAATGAGAAACTGCTACACCATGCAACCTGGCAATGCAGGTCTCCTACTCCTATTCTCCTTGGAACACAAGGGAATTTAACTCTCTGGAAGTCTGCAAGATTGCAACAGCTCTTTGAATGGCATGGAAAAACATGAGTTTGTGTAGGAAGCTTGCCTTGGAAAGTCAATACAGTGTGGCACTGCTACAATAATGAGACACTGGTAGCTCCAACCCAGAGCTGTCCCCTCTTTCTGGGCATCAGGTTTCCAGCAGCAGAGTATTTAGGGCCATGGAGGGGCAGAGCTTCTTGCTTCAGCCTAACAGCATCACAAACAGGCTCATATTCCCTATACCCCCTCCATAAGCAGCTGTAACTTCCTCTGCAAATCATTGACTCTTTATTAGATTTACTACTCATCCATAATAAAATAAATTGGTTTGAGGACTGTTTAAATGATACCATCTATATTTATATACTTAAACAATGCAGAATAGTCACATGGCTATTAAAAAACAGAAAAAATATAAAAATGAGATTAATAGCCACCTCCTGCTGCACAAGTTCTGAAAACAGTGTTTTCAGCCTAGAAAGGAAGAAGCTTCTGTATAGAGACTGTACATCACAAATGAACATGTCTGTCACTAGGTCTGAGAAAGGAGAAAATCACAGCTCTGTCTGCACAAAGAGGTGGAGGGAGCAGGTGAGGGGTGTGATAGATCAATGAAAGGAGGGTTAATGATTCACCAAGCAGTAACACCCTCTCACAGGTCTGAGGTGATCATTTTCTGCCAGTTCAAATGTTAGCTCATGGTCACAAGCCAGAGACCTGAATCTTAAATAGCTAGAGGAGGTATTCTTGGCTGAGTCTTAATGATTCTGAACTTCCACTCTTTCTGGTTGTGCTTCCCCATAACTGTGGCAGCTGCTGAAAGACTCAGCAAATAACCATGGCCAGGCCAGTGCTCCAAACACAGAGAAATGAGGAACAGCAGTTGGCTGGTTACTTTACAGGAATTCTCCTTGCTGGCTGAGCAGGTGCTGCTGTGTGGAGTGAAGGGTGAGCTTTCAGAAGGGCTCTCCCACTACTCCAAACATCTCATACCTTCCCTTCATAAATTTCTCCCATGTCCCAGGCTTCTCTCATTCTGACATTAAAAGGGAACCAGAGATTTGTTCAGTGCCTGGATTTTTACTCCCTACAGAAAGCAAGATTCTAGCCCGAGGCTGGATTATTACAGTTAAGCTTTTCTTTTTCCCTTTTGTCTAACTGAGAGAGGGTTGGTTGAGATGAGATGTAAGGAAGGAGTTTTTTAAAAGTGGTAAAGCATTGGCACAGGGTGGCCAGGAGGTGGTGGATGCCTCATTCCTAGAAATACTCAAGGCTGGATTAGAGGGGGCTCTCAGCAGCAAGGTCTAGTGGAAGTGAGAGCTGGATGACCTTCAAAAGTCCCTTCCAACCCAAACCATTCTATTTATCGGGATCTATTTGATATCTTTTCATATAATTCAATTATAAGCCCTCATGGAGGGACCATATTTTAATCTGCATTTGTGCAGCATCAAGTACTGTAGGTTCCTGGGCTATGGTAATACAGATAACAAATTGAAATTACTGGCTTATTAATACTGGCCTGGTGCAATCCACCTGGTTATGGAAATGAATGGTACTGAAAGGGAGCCAAAAGCTTGCCCACAGACAAATTACACTGTAATTGTCATCTGGTACCACTGCAGCTACATTACCCTCACTGCAAGGGAAGTGCTCAATTTTCCTGTACCGAAACATTAGGCAAGAGCAATAAAGGTGTGGATTGAGGTGCAGATAGAACAGCCCAAAGGCTGTGGGTTTCCATGGAGCTCTGAATTCTGATGGCAGCAGGGATAAGCAGTTGAGATTTCAGGCACACTTAGTGCCAGAATGCCAAGAGGCAAAAAGAAGGACATTGAGAAGGGCAAAGAGAACATCCCAGGCTTTCTGCAGGGACAGTGCACACAGCCTTTAAGGAGTTGGGTAGGGGCTGGCATATGGAAAGGATTATACTTACATAGGCTCCCACGATGCTGCTCTTGGCTGCCACGAAGATCAGACAGATGAAGATGGCTGATCCCAGCATTCCAACAGCACAGACGAGAGGATCAGCTCGCTGGGTCTTGGACCTGCACCACTTGGTGGCTCCTGCTCCTGTGATCACACCCAGGAAGCCAGTGAAGCATGTGATTGCTCCGAAGATCAAACTAGCCAAAAATAAAAAATAGGAAAGAAAGAAAGTAAGAGAAAGGTGGGAGGATTTTTTGAGGTTTCTCCCAAAATGGGCATAGTCTTTGGGTATTACTACTTTATTAAGTATTAGATATTATTATTTTATTAGGTATTATTATTTTATTATTAATAATATAATTATTAGCATAAACTGACTAATGGAAATTTGCACAATTTGCACAATGGATTTTCAAATTTTAAATAAAACAAATGCTCATGATTTTAGTCCTCTTCCCCTGCAATTAAGAAAAACACAGCATATGAAATTTATCATTGTGCACAGGTTTTGATCCATGGGCAAAGGGGTGCAAAGGGCTCATGCTACTTCCTTGGGTGGAACTGGGATTCCTAGGAAGAGCCCTGAACAGCTAATTATGTATACAGAAAACTAATTAATAATCTGTACTTTGATCATGTGAGGGGAAACCATGGACAGGCACCAGGAAGTTTCAGGGCAAGGAAACCTAACAAGACTCATAAATACCAGTGATTTCCAACATACTTTGACTTTATAACTCCTTTCACGCCACTTCAAAGAAGCTTTTTGCTGTTAGGTTACACATTTGAAATATGCTAATTTCAATTTAAAGAGCCAGGAGCATTCTCCATATGATATGTGCAGGACTTGGATTACAGGGTCTTGGGCAACCACATTAGAGTAGGTTGAGGACAGTTCAAAATTGAGGTGTCATCAAGGAGGGGGAACTTCTCTTTGTGAACAGCAGACAGGCAGTCAGGCTGGAGCTCACTGCATTTTTGTGGAACAGCCTGAGCTTGCCTGCTGGACACTCTGGTTGATGGACTCCACACCACTAACTACTTTAATTGAGATGGGATTATGTCTGTTATGGCAAGAAGGTTTCCCTAATATTATTCTCCCTCATGAACTAAAAAGCAAAACATGTGACAAAAAGTTTTTTTAGTATCTTTTATTTACCCAGAGGAATGTTTTTATAGCATTTCCTGGTTTGTGCCACCATTGTAAATCACAAAATGAAGAATTACTTTTCACAGCTTATGTGTTGCAAGTGATATTCCACAACCAGGACTGAAAACCCAAACCACTGTGTAACATGAAACACTCCAGCCCAAATTGTCCCAGATCTCTGGGACATCCTTCAGCAAAACTCAGCACACACTGCAGTTTACAGAGCAATAAAACAGGGAAGTCCTGCCTCACACAGAAACAAAAGCCTACAGGATTAGTCTCTGCAGCTTTAGGAAAACCATTCCAGCCTCTGAATTACAGGCACCACTGGGGCTTCCTAACCTGCCAGTTTATTCTGCTGCTACCACAGATGGGTCTTAAGGAACCAAATTCTCAGCTCTCCAAACATCCTCCTTAGAGAATTTATCTTTTTTACTCTGCACCACGGCCTGGGAACTAAGACAGAGCTGAGGTCATTGCTTCTCCCTTGGTTTGACTTCATGCAATGAAGAAGAGAAATAAAGCCTAGTTTACAATCCCAGCATTTCCTATCATTGTTACAAGGACCTAGAGGAAATTACAGACATTCTAGTACCTTGTCTCTGTGGGACTTGCCTGTTTCCTCTGGTAAATAATCCCCCACCCCCTCTCCCCCTCTGTAAAGCAGCTGACTCTGACTCTCACCTATCTTTGGTGCCACAGGGCTGGGAGCTGCAGGTCTCTGCTGTCTTCTGCACGACCTGTGCTCTGTGGAGGTACAGAGGGATCCACATTCCCAGTGCCCCCGTGGCAAAGGAGACAGCTGAGGTGGCCAGGGAGGAGAACACATAGCTGCGGCTGGGGAGACAAAACCAAGAGAAGGTTTAGTGAGGAAAGCGGAAAAGCAGGACCCCCACACAGGAGCCAGTGCTTCAGTGACAAAGCCCAGTGCTCCCCCACATTTGCCACCTCCCTTTGCCAAGGGGCAGAGGTAACAAGCTGTAAAGGAATGGAGAATAAGAAGCATGGAAGGTTCACATGTGATGCTCCACTGATAATAATACACTGAACTCATCAGAATGCTTCACAGGGGCTGTTTGAGAAGACAACCAGTACTTGGTCACTAAGACATGATGTCTGAATTACAGGGCTTTCACCCTAATGTCACCTGTTTACTTGGAGGAGCAGTTTCACTTCTCCCTCCCCATCCCTGCCACCATATGGTTACTACTTACACAAATTACCAGAAGCAGTACCATAGAAATAATGATAAATTAGCTCACATTGCTCTTCAGAGTCCTTTGGCACTGGATGACAATACCAGGGAGGTATTCTAGCCAGTAGTTCCATCACAAGTTTCCCATCAGAATTACAAGCTAACTCTGAATTCACAAGTGAAAGTATTTGCACATTCACAGGCCAGATTTCTGGAAGGAAGTGCAGCTGCTGCAGCACTTGTGAGCATGTGAACCTTTATGCACACATACAAGTGCCCAAGCACATTCAGTTCTCATAGATTCAGCCACACATGGCTGTTCACATATATTTAAACTTGCCATAGTGCAAGCTTCTGTGTGTTTTTTATCTTAAATTGCTAAAACTCTCTTTCCCCCCTCAGCAGAATAGCTCTTTTAAAGAAGAAAAAGGATCTAAGTGTCTGAACAGCAGTGGCACAACAATTAATACAGGAACACAGCAATTTCTACACTTCAAAAGCCCTGATTTGTGTGAAGTATGAGCCAAACAAAGCAGGCTTTTTCTTAGATGACAGTCTTGGAAAGGTTAGAGCAAAACTTGGAATTCATCATTGTCACAGCAGTCAATACCTCATGTAACTGTGATTTTCTTCCCTAGGTCCACAGACTAAACTTCCTGCAACTCCCTGCATGTCGTCACTTCCCAGGCTCACCGTGCTAAATCCAGATCATTGGATGCTCCAATTAAACATTAGGGGAAAAACATGGTTTTTACTCATGCTCTTACTTTCTAATCAATGCTTTCATGTCTCTCAGCCATGAAGTCCGAGCCTTCAGCTGCCCCCCAAGCTGTTCAGCATTTCCTCTTTTAGCAGCAGGCACAAATATCAAGATGAGTGTCCCTGTTATCATTCCTAGGAGTGGAGATACCTGCAAGAAAGGAGCAGGGAATTAGCACAGGAGTCAGGAGGGTTTGCTTTGACTGGTCAGAAAGAAGCAGAATCCATCCTTTTGGTTTCAGTGACTGCTCCTCACAGCCACTCAGAACCTGTAAGCATCAAGGCATCTGCTCCTTTCCTTCCTCCATGTCATTCTCTGCACTCTCTTATCTCACTCTGGAAACATGCAGCTTTGAAAATACTCTGAGTAAGGCAGTCCATTGTGTTGGTAAGAAGATTCAGCTAAACATGATTCTTGAGGGGTCTTTAACTCTTTGGAAACCTACTCCCAGCTGGGCTGAGAGACCAGCTGGTTTCTGGGTGAGTGCAGAGGCCATTTAAAGGCAATTAGACCAGCTGAAATATTTCTGGATGTAGGGAAGATGCTGCCTTTGAAAACCTTTGCTTGATATACATCCCTCTTCCAGTAACCCACAATGGCTTCCTGTTTTCAGGCATCTTCCTCAGTACAACAGATCAAGAAACATTGAAAATTCAGGCTGGAAAATAGGGAAACAATGCATTCAAGGGCTTGATTTCCTGATATCCAACCCCTTCTCCCAAGCTCAGGCAAAAATACAAAGATCCTACAGCATTTTGTAAGCTATAAGAACTATTCTTGTTTTGACACTGAAATTCCATTATTGTCAGAATGGAAAATAGCTCCATCAGGAAAATAGGAACACGGATTTCACTGAGCTATCATCTTATCTAGACATACTATTTAAAAAATAATTCCTGTCCAAAAAAAACAACCTAAAACCCTTTCATTTATTAACCTGAGAATGGCCTTTACACATGGAGCAGTGTTTCATGTCCAAAGATGACAAACTCACAATCCTTCTAGGGAAGGAAAGACAAAAATATTTCAGAACTTAAAAGTCAAGAAAATCACTGATCCTGGAATACATTGAAGCCTGATACAGCATCCTTATGACAGCTGAACACAAGACACAGAACTGGTAAAAAATATTGGAAATGCTGTTTTTTCTACAGCCAGATGATTGCAAGTGTCTTTGATTTTTATCTAAAAGCTTAAGTACCCATCAGGACAACATCCATGGGCACTCAGTAATGCTGCAGTAAAACACTCACTTTATTGTCAGATCCAGAGACAAAGCTGCCACTTGTCCACGTGCCCTTCTTTCTTTTTCAGCCCACTGAAGTGTGGATGATTCCTGACCTCTTCTGTCTTTGGAGCCCACAGGAGATCACAGAGGGAAGATCATCTTAGGGAGTCATTCCCACCTTCAAGAGCACATGATTGCCATAGGGATGGAAGATGCTTTACAGTGATGTCTGGATGCCTTCTATATGTGCTGTGTGACAACAAAGCCTGAGCAATGGTGTCAAAGGAACCACCACAGATGTGTGCAGCTCATCAGATTCCCCAGATTTTGTACAGCCAGGGAATCCTGCACCAATGTGTCCTTTATAGTGGGAATCATGACCTGTAAGGGGTACAGTCTTGCTGATAGCCTGGATTTCTCAGGATAACTACGAAGACACCACCTGAAAATTCCAAGTGATGATCTCTTTTCACAGATTACCCATTTGGGTTTTACAGACAGATTTGGGTTTTCCAAGAATGTTCCAGTTAAAGCCCTGCTGACCAGAGGACAGGCTTTGGGGTTTTCACTCCTTGTGTTCACCTCTGCTCAAAAGTTCATGTCACTCTTAAATATTTCTGCTAATGAGGCAGCATCCTCCTGGTGGGAAGCTTTAGGCTACTCCACTTTCCACTCCAGGTGCACAGCTGGAAGCTGCCTCCACTCTCCCACATGAACCATTCTTGGTGATGTTCCTGGGCATAGCCTGTGTCACAGAGGGCATATTTGCTTCAGATGGAAACCCTTGCATTTCATCACCAACTGTTATAAACAGTGCTGGCCTGAGCTTCATGAGATTCATGGTCTCCATGAAGTGCCAGAGCCAGAGAATGCACCTCACATACCACCCACAGCACCAAAGGTCAGAAACCAGTTCTGCTGGGCCACTTCCTCCCAGCTCTTTCAAGACATCTTTGTGTGCAGAAGCTGTCTGTGAGTATGTGTATGTGATTGGAGTAGATTATCTTTTCAGCCCATTTATCAGGGTCCCAAGAGGTTAAAATAGAAGGAAACGGACTGTCTCAGGGCAGAAAAACAAGCGGAAACTGGAACAAAGTGTTTTTTCCTCAAAGCCGGAAGCCATTCTCAGAGTTTCTTGACAGCAGGAGACTGAAAGACTGTGGAGTTGATTTAAGGCCAATGCCTCGTCTTCCTGTCCCCATCAAAAAGTCATGATTGATTGATTGATTGATAACAAAATTATTGTAAAATTCTTGCTCCCAAGCAGGGAAAACACCAAGTCTCACAAGCCAAGCCCACGTATCTTTGCTTAGAGAGTGCATCTGCCATGCACTCAACATCCACAGATGTAATTTCCCATCCTTCACCTCTCAGATATAATAACAGGTTGAGCCATTGTGTGATGGAACTCTCCCTAACACTAATCAACCAACCAACTCTCATGAAGATGTGTCATTAAGAGGGACTCACCCGCAGTGCCCAGTGCCAGTCTCCAGCAACCTGCTTCACACTCGAGCCAGTGATGTATCCCAAGCCACTGCAAGAAAGGCCAAGAGAGAGTTGGGCAGAGCTTTAAGTATGCCACAGTCACAGCTCTTTTTAGACAAAGGCAAAGAGAGGCACAACCAACTGTGTGTCCTCAGCTCTCCTGTCCTATAGGGTGAAATATGGGGATTGAAGCAGAGGGTGGCTAGTAAGTGACTCTACCCAGCACTGCTGGTCTAAAAATGTCCAAATCTGATGGAAATTTGGAAGTTTATAGCTGACCTGTCAATCTACAGTGGATGGAAAGAAAGACAAAAAAAGAATTTATTTCCCAATATTCACTTCTACATCAGGCCTTTGTCTGTGCTAATATGAATATGAAACAATTTTACCTTCAAGCTTTCAGTTAAAAAGTGCCCTTCAAGGACAGGCCATATTCCATCATTAGATTTTTTTTTTCTTGCCACTAAATAGCACTTGTTTCTAATTAAGCAGGAAGAGACTATCTTCTTTTAGCTTGGAAGAAAAACCAAGAAGAACATGCAAGAAGTTTGATGGGAGACGTTCAGCCACATGTAAGACAAAAGGTGCATCACAAGAGACTAAAGGTGACCATAGCCACACTTCTCTCAACATGAACTGAAGGTAAATACCCTTTTCCAAAACTGCTGCATTTGTTGCTGAGACTATCTTGGCTAAAAGTTGCCAGGATTGCAGTGGGGCAACTGTGAGCCCCCCTCCCCGACCCCCCTTCCTTTACTGAAGAGTCTGCTAAGCTTTGGAGGTTGTCAGCTATAACCTCCCTAGAACTGGACATTTTACCCAGACAGGCCCCAAAATCAAAGCATGAATCATCACAGACTGGTTTGGATTGTAAGAGACCTTAAAATCCATCCAGTTCTACCCCCTGCCATGACAGGGACACCTTCCACTATCCCAGGCTGCTCCAAGCCCTGTCCAACCTTGGGCACTTCCAGGGACCCAGGGGCAGCCACAGCTTCTCTGGGAATCTGTGCCAGGCCTTCATCACCTTCACAGGGAAGAATTTCTTCCGAATACCCAGTCAAAACCTCTTTCAGTTTACAGCCCTTGTCCTATCCTCCATGGCTTTGTAATTCATGCTGCTGCTAGATATCGAGACAATGCAGTCCCAGAATCAGACTCAACAGGATGAATATTTGAAATTCATTGAATTTTCCATGTAAATACTTGGAATCTTTGGTTCTCTTGAAAAAATATTCTTTTCACCAGTTAAGGATCTGTTTATCTCTTTTTCCTCAAGAGCAAAAGAATGTTTGTGAGTTTTATCTCACAGGTAAGTGCTCCAGCTTGTAAAATGCACCACCAGATTTTTTTCTCTGAGTTTGGACAATGTTGCCCATGTATTCCCTGCTGGAAATGAACCCATATTGCCCTTTTTCCCAGGATGTTGTTGTCCAGCTCTGGGAAATGGTATGCAAACTATGCAAAGCCACCTTGCTGACAATCTCACAATAGAGGGTTGGCCATTATTTTAAAAAATAAAAATAATTACGGATTCCCTCCTGTCCCAACAATCATATACTGTGTTGGGCTGATAAAGAAATTCCACTGAAAGAAAAAGTCAGCTAAAATATTTTTATTCCATTTCCACCCCATTGCTGTAAAAAAGGAGGAAAAAACCTAAATTAACCAACAATAAACTTCCCATTAGTTCCCAAAAGTCACACATGAACCAGCAACATGTCCAAAAAAGAATCTAATTCCTGCAACTAATTAGTCACTGCTCACAATATTTTCCTGTCTACGCTCCAGCCAAAGTCAAGAGCTATCATCATTAGCAATTCCAGATCTATGTGAGTTTATTAAAGAGAAAAGCCATAAGCAGATGAAAGAGCCTTTGTGTCACTTACCTGCCCAGAGGAATTGCAAAGTAGAAAACAGACAGCATCAGGGTCCTCGTGTTTCTGGTGAACAGGTCTCCAATGATGGTTGGTGCAATAGTGGAATAACTCGCTTCACCAATGCCAACCAAACCCCGTGAGAGCACAAGGAGCCAGAAATACTGAGAAAAGAAATATAAACATTAGCAGGTCCCCCCCTTGGCTTTTTTAATTCAGGATGGACAACAGTCAGAGAAAGAGAAATTCATGTGACTGGAAATGATGATCCTGTATGCATTTATTTTTAGAACTTCAGAGTTGTTTCATTTGTCTTTTGCCAAGAAGAAAGGGACTATATTTTTTGTGAAGATTTACAGGCATGAAAGAAAAGTAATAATAAAACATTTACTCAGTGACATTCAATAATATATCCTAAAAGAAGAAGACTCCCAGTTTGTTCCCAGATCCCAGCTCACTCATGCTGAGTTGGGAAGGTCTGGGGAGGTGGGTGAGTAACCCTGCTCTGGGATCCAGGAACAGCAACTCCTGCTGAGCACAACCCATCCTCCCCAGCATGCCAAGGACAGCTTCTACTGTGAAATCCTAAAGGCTCTTCAAAGTTGGGAAAGAGTGGGATCTGAAATCCCCCAAACTAAATGTGGTCCTTCACTAAAAGCTATGGAATAATGGAATCTTTCCAAGGTGCTAAGCACCCATCTCACTCCACTTGCCTTGAACAGCAGCAGACACCTCCCCAAAACTGCCAGAGGAGACCTGAGCTTTACTGGGCAGCCCAGGAACACCCATGTACTCTGTAAGCAGGACCTGCAGGGAATGACCCAGAGCCACACAGGGCCGGGGCAGGCAGGAGCACTCAGCTGCCCAGGCAGCACCTGCCTCTCTGGGTGATGTTCCACATCCCACAGGATGAGGATATGTCAGAAAACAGGCGACCCCAACGTCTGGGAATGATTGGCATCTGACTCCATTGACTCAGAATGCTGACCAATTGCTTTATTAAACTATATTACATTATACTATACTATACTATATTAAAGAATACTGAAAGGATACTATACTATACAAAGATACATACTAAAGAAAACACAGGACTGTCTCCAGACAGTTAGGACACAGCTTTTTCCAATTGGCCAAGGAAACAAAACAATCCTCAGCAGAATCCAATTGAAAATCACTTCAGGTAAACAATCTTCTTAACATATTCCACATGTGCAAAAACAACAGGAGCAGCAAGTAAAGATAAGAATTGTTCTCCCTTTCTTCTCTGTTCAGAGCATGTGAATGCCACAAGGATACACTTCACATTCAGCACAACACAATCTAAAATAGTCAAAAAGGAATTGCTTATCTAATAGAATTTTTTTAATGGCCCATTTCAAGCAACACTTTGGTGAACTGCAAGGACCTGATTTTCCACCTAAGCTCTTTCACTGCCCCTGCAGTTTTCTGGGTGCTGCAGGGTGCAGGTTAAGACAATGCTTTGAACTGCAAGGACCTGATTTTCCACCTAAGCTCTTTCACTGCCCCTGCAGTTTTCTGGGTGCAGGTTAAGACACAATGCTTTGATGCCTGAATACCAGATACATGAGAACAAGCAAACTCTCAGCCATCTAAGCAGCTTGAGCTACACCCAGAAATAATTGCAGGGACAGAAATGAAGCAGTCAATGCAGAAAGTTGTAAGCACAGGGAAATCTATTTCTACAAATTTAACCTCTATAAATCCTCAATTTGCTGTCATTATTCTGTAGATCATTTGTGAGAAGAACAGCAGGGATTTAAACTGAAGGAAGGCAGGTTTAAATTAGATATTAGGAAGCAATTCTTTCCAGTAAGGCCCTGGTATAGGTGCCCACAGCCCCATCCCTGGAAGTGTCCAAGGCAAGGCTGGATGGGGCTTGGAGCAACCTGGGATAGTGGAAGGTGTCCCTGCCATGGCAGGGAGTGGGATGGGATGGGCTTTAAGTTCCTTCCCAGCCCAAACCAGTCTGTGATTCTATGCTTATGATATGTCCTTAACCATGAAAGTGCTTTGGGAAAAATGAGCAATTACCAATTCTCCTTCTTCAGATAGGAATAAATCAAGGGAAATTACTGATTTTGTGCCCTACAGCAAAGCCAAGCTAGAGTACAAGTCTCATTCACAAACATGGAAAATGCCATGCAGACTCCAAGCCACATGCCTCAGTCATAAACATACCCATCAGCAGACAAAAATCTACCACTGACATGTTTGCATTGTTTTGCTCATTGTAATCCCTAGTTGAAAAGAATATTTTGAGGATTCCAACAGCCACAAAAACAAAATACTTTCGTGTACTCTTCACTTCCTCATATTTTGGTGTGAATTCTGGAGCAATTCCCATTTTCTGCAGGAATACAAGTTCCTTGTTTGCTGGCAGGGTGTGTGCAGTGCTGCTCACATTCATACATCTCCCACAAGCTGCACCATACGTAACTCACACACGTGGGTGTGAGCAGAAAGGGCAATACTGTGACTCAAGTGATTTAATTTATGCCAATTTCCCAATGCTCAACCACTCCACTGCAGAAATATGCTGGCAGTCATTGGTGCACAGGTAACCAATGTATTTTGAATGAGCAACAGTATTTATAACATGCTGAAAGGCTTAGTCATGCAGAATTAGAAAGCAGGGAACTGGAGGCTGGCTGTGGTTTCTGAGGAAGTGTAGATCTGGATCACAGAGAGGGTGACAGGCAAAGTAGTCACCTGCCTGGGATGAGCATGGACAGTGTAACCTACAACTGAAGAATGACAAGGTTGTAAATGCACTGGATGTTCCTCAAATTTGAAATACCTACAGAAAAATGACACAAGTTTGTGCTCACCAGCCAGTATTGCTCCCAGTGAATGCACTGGGTAGGAATTTCCTCCAAACAATGCTGTGAGAAGGTTCCTCTTACAATCCTTGTGCAAAGCAGGAAAACTGTACCAAGTATTCTTTTTGTGGTAGAGTGACTCAGTTTCATCAATACCATGGAATCAGATGCCCAATACCATGAAATCATCTGCAACAAGTAACACATTCACTCTTCTCTCTCAGTTCCTCCTCAAATCCCTCCCCTGGCTTATGCCATGCTGACACATTCCAAATATCTGTTTAATATTTAAACTATGTTCTCTGAAGCAGTGGTATTCCAACTTAAGTAATGAGATTTTTACTTCATCTGGGAATAAAAGCAGTCTTAAAAAGCATAATCCACATAAAGACCTGAATGGTATTGCCCTTCTGAGATCAGATATTCAAGACTACAGACCATCCAGCCATTAAGTTGTGATTAAGATTAAACATACAAAAATCTAAAACAATTTAGGGAATTATTCATAGTTGGTTCTATACTGTGCCTGCTTTTTAGAGCTCTATATCTAGGATTAAAGAGTTAATTCTTCCTCTTACCAGTTCTTTGGGATCTTTGGCTAGCATACATCCTGCTGGAACTCATATGATAAAATTAATTTGCTGAAATGAGCTGGGACCTCCATCTTCCATCTCTAATCAGTCACTCAAAATTTATGTTTTAGTTGTCTCTGAAAAGGGACAGCTGTGGAGCTCCACAAGGCAAAAAGTGGTCCCATCCATGACAGGCATTCCATGAACCACTCAGAAACTGGTCCCAAAACATGCAATAGAGACAGCTGCTATTTTTTGTGTACATTTACACACACACACCCATAGAACATCCCTTTTCCTCTCCAAGTGTATGTGGACATGACAACCTGCACAAACACATGGCAAAGTCAGATATTCCACATGCTGAGGGAAATTCTGCTCTCCTCCACAGCTGTAGCAGGACACCTCTGTCATTTCCTCTGCACTGGATCTTCCCCCCACTGCTTTTCCATTTATGTCCTACCTCAGGGTTCTTAGGAGTTTAATGAAAGAAAAAGGGCTGACAGCAGCTCAATTCTGCCAGTGCTCAAAAGCAGAACAGGCAGCTCAGACTTTAACTGAATTTCACTGTTCCCCAAGCAGAAATTGATATATATTGAAGAAGCTAGTTTCTTTCTATATGACTTGGTAACTCTACTGTAATTTGTTCATCTGTGCAAGCAGGTTTCTGGCAGGAAAATTGAAAATATCTGAGTCAGCTTTCAGGACCTGAACTAATTCCTTCCCCACAGATTAAGCCCAGCAATGTCAACACTTATCAGTAGAGTTTTCCTAAAATGAAATACTTGAAAGTGATGGTTTTTTGAAACAAGGTGCTATTAGGACAAGCAATTAATTTGTCTTTAATTTTGGAAAGTAGTCATGTCAGAGACTGTCTGAGAGCTCCATGAGACCTGCCAACATCACCTGGTTTGGAGAGATGCATTGACTTTTTTGGAATGAATTCATAGCCTCAATCCCCCTCCTTCCCGTGTGTCAGCCCAAGGGGCAGCTCTGTGGCTGTGCTGGGATTCTGCAGCCACAGAGCAGCACTGTGGCACCAGCCTGGCTGTGGCACTGGGAAGGGACACCTGAGCCACACAGCCTGGCTGGTGAGTTCCAGGAGCAAGTCAGGATGCAAAGGGGCTTCCAGTGCCCTTCTCCAGCTTGTGTGGCTGGTGAGACACAAGCCAGGGAAGATTCCAGTACACAATAAACCATCAACATATGGAAAGAATGTTGGCTGCAGAGACCCAGAACTGCCACAGCCTTCCTGGGAATTTCCCTCCAAGAGATGACATCACCAGAAATTAATGCATGGAGAAAGCACTCATATTTATGAATGGGAGGTACAAAGTGTCAATGGATGTGCTCTCTTCTTCCCATCTCCTAATTATATCAAAGGAAAAACACCCTCTAGCCATAAAGCAAAAGAAACCCAATTCCTCAAAATAGAAGTGAGTTTCAGAAGGGATATGGGGATGTGCCAATAAGGAAGAGAAAATTCTACCTACCAACTTCTACATGTCTGAAACTATCAGCAAGCCATAGACAACAGGAGTGACAGACCATGGGGTCCAAGGGACCTGGTATCATTACTGTCACCAGTGTCACCAAACACTAGAAGCTATGGATGTGACACTCCTTCCAGAATTCACATCTGAAAAAAAGCTTTCATGGTTGGAGTTAAATATTTACAATACAGAACTATTGAATTGTTTAGGTTAGAAAAGACCTCTATGAACATCAGGTCCCACAGATAAAAAGTAC